GCAGCCTAGGATCGAAAAGTGTAGAATACTTGCGGTCAAAGTGTACAGGCAACTCAGCAAGATCACTACTAACATGAGATCCTTACACCAACTGTCCAGGTGGTCTAGATATGCTTCGTATAAGGTGAGCTACGGGACTAAAAGTTAATTTATTGTCCAATTTTGGTTTTGATATGAAAAAAAAATCCTGCTACTTCTAAAACGAAACCACAAGCATGCAAGTTTTTTTCATGGGGCAGTGCGACCTTTAAAGAATTTGCATTATGAGTCAGTTCGTTGCTCTGTCCTTTCGTATTTATGTCTGTCTGTTTGTCCACTTCATCTGCTGGACTGCTGTTAATTAAGCTTGATTGAAATGTTAGTAGACTCTGTGGATTTAAGGATCAAAAAGACGTAGTTGGAACTCAAAATACAGTCTATTTCTACAGTTAAAGTTACACCTCAAAAAATTCAGCAGCATGTATAACCTAACATTTATCGTATAACCTAACATTTCATATAACGATATAAATTTGTGTCACAATCGCTGTACTGATGAGATCCAGCTATAGTACTGATACAATTCAAGCAGAACTTGATGGACCGAAACTTCCCTATTTATTTTAAATGCTCCTATTGTATGAATATATGCGTTCGAAGATAGTATTTGAAACTCGAAATACTCTTCATCACGCTTTACAGTTACATTTGCCTGAATTTGCTTTACGAAATCCGTATCATATATGAACTTTGTACAATATTTGCTGGCTCGGTGAAACTTTTGATTTTCTCCTATCTATATTTATATTACTAATTTTTATACGCGTTTCTTTTACTTGATTTTTATTCATTTTCTTCTATTTATAGTTATCAATACAAAAGTGCGTCATTACACATTACTACTGCATGTGTCATTGCACTACTCGGCTTACTTTCGCATTTTTCTAGGCTGCACCGAGTCATGGAAGAATGAATCAGAATGCCACCTGAACCTTCTTTTTCCCTTCTCTCCCCCGCCCTCCCCTAACCACTCGTCCTCTCGTTCCTCAAAAACAATGATTTTTGCCGCGTACAAACGGACCCAGTTATTTTGATAGCTAACAACATTGTCACAATGCCAAGCCATCGAGGCAACAATGTTATTTATTTCACATTTTCAAATATCAACGCAAAACCAAAAAAACACCTCTTATCAGCAAAGCCAGGTAGCAGGAGCTAAAATACCACCGGTTGGGCTGACCGCAAAAATAACTCCCAATTTTTCGATATGATTGATAAGGCTATTACAGTCACCGAAATTTTTGTGGTGAGAACATGTAAATGTTAAAGTTCAACATCTGCCGTGCCCTTTTTTATCAAAACCAGTAAACCTCATTTCCAACATTTGGTTTGTTGGGGAAACGCTTTGTAAGCGTCATACAAAAATCGGCATATATATATAAGCGACTTTCTGAACGAAACAACCATTTCCCGAAAAGTGGAAGGAGAGTGATAAAGAAATTTTTGGACCTGCATTTTATTACCTGTAGGATTTCAATTTTTGACTTTCATTTTGCTCATTTTCACTCAATCATTTCACTCTGTCATTTTACGTATTTATAGGCGAACAGTTTTCTAAAAGAGCCAAAACGTTCAAACTTTTAAAACCTACCAAAATTTACTGCCTTTGGGTGTTGCATGTATCCGGAAGTGGACCAAGTGATAACTCTTCCGCTTGCAACCGCTGGTCGACAGGGATTAGTCGTGGCGAAACCCTCTTCTGGAAGTTGCTTGGAAAGCAGGTTAAGGGATGATTTGACTCTCCGACATACTTTGATTTACAATCTAAATGAATCAATGAGCGCTGTGAATGAACTGGTTTCCCACGGGTGGATTCGAATTAACAGCTCGAGCCAGCCACCAATCATTATGGTATCAGAAGCCCGCGCTTGTGGAGGTAAAGTCTCAGAGGGTGAATTTATGCGTGCTTTTGCCTCAGACTGGGGAGTTGCGATGTCCCCCATTTGGTCATTTTTTTGTTCCTTGTCCATTACTTTTTATTGTCCCGGTTTATTTACTACTCTTTGTGGTTTATTGCCCTCGTTCTTATTGGCAACGTTTCCAGATATCTGACCTCAAAAAGTGATAGCGAAGTTTTTGCGCCAAAAGTTTGCAAAATGTTCGGGTATCAAAAGTTTTTGACGTTTATTACGTGAATTTGCAACGCACTAAAGGACAAGCAATAGTGAGAAGTAGCAGTTCGAGTAGGACGAAAGTTCGATTTCGCCAGTGGAAAAACCTGGCCCTCTACGATTCGTTCATTCATTTCGATGACAAATTGGTACTGATTTATTCCAGCGAGTCAAACTCGTCATCAGCTTGTCTTAATTAAAGCTCGAAAGAGGAAATCATCAATAGCCAATGGATGATTGCTAATGGCATTTGATACTGCTCGGACTATTTCTCGAGTGCCTGCGCTTTTCATAGAGAGCCATTGCAGAGTGTTTTTGACTTTTGATGCAAAGGCTGTGTTGCTTGGATAATTCAGACGCAAGTATGTCCTAATTATTTTGGGCTGAACAAAATGCGGCAAATCGTGATGACGGGTCATAGTTGTTGCGATGTGGCTGATGATGAATATCAAATGATAGCTGTCACAGTAGGTCTGTGAATATGTCCGTTAACGGGCCTGTAATGTGCGTCGTGTCTGTTTGTGAGTGTGTCAGCGGTCAAATGCGCAAGCGATACGTTCTGGATGCGATAACAGGGGATGTTCCGGTGAGGCGCGGTCAACAGCGTGCGGCCTGAGGGTGGCTGAGGTTCCGCTGGGATGCGCCACTATCAGTAGCATAAATCTTACCTCAAGGTGAGTCTCGACATGAGCGGCTGCTTGATACGAAATAGGTCAATCAGTGTTGTCGATCTGGTCGAC